TGTGCCTAGAGAGGTCTCTTCCATCACTCTTCTCATATCAAAATCAGGCCAGTACTCTGGGGTATGAAAGGGTGCACTAGGATGCACTATATGTACCCCACATTAACAGAGAATCCCAAATTCAGCTCACTGCTTGCTGGCCTGTTTGGGATCACTAAGTGCAGCCTCTAGCCCCTGACTATTCCCTGAACATTCCCTCAGTGTCACGTTTCCTCTCCCTCCCTCACCCGTCAACTCAGCCTCCAAGGGAAGCAAGGGCTGCATTAGGAATGCCACCACAGGACAGAAGACGGAAGATGTTACAAGGTGAGATGTTCCCAGGGTGCAATGCAACATTCACCACCTCATCTAAAACACAAAGCTCTCTCTTCTTACAAGCTGAATAATGTCTCCCTCAAATGCACGTGTTGAAGGCCTACCCTAGAATTTCAGAACACGATTTTATTTGAAGAGTCTTCACAGATGTTCTTGGGTTAAAATTAAGTGACTATGAGACAAGTGAAGGATCCAATGTCCCCAAAGAGTTATTTTGTATTTTTCTTCCCACAAGTACCCCAAACACCTCATGGCTGTGCATGGCTAAATCAGATGCCCCACACCAGCTCCCAGAGATATCTGACTTGTCTACGGCAAGATTTGTGGTCATGAGTCCATCCTACATTACTCTGCCCATCAGCCTCTCTGGATGACTGACTCCACACCCTGTAGCCATCCTCAAACTGGTCCACAGCCCCTGCCATACCCATGATTAAGAAAGCCTGCAGTTAGCTGGCAAGATACTGCACATACACAAGTCCTCCTTTTTCCTATATAAACAGAACTCCAGATAGCCCCTTCCCAGGTCAGTCCATGCACTGTTCACCCTTATACTGTAATCTCTTTCAGATGATACATTTTGCCTATTCATGATTTCTACCTTGAATAGAGCAATCTAAGCTGGTACACTAAGAGCTGGTAACACTAAGGGTTGCGGGCACCAAACCCAACCAGCAGCCAGGGCTGGTAACACTGAGGGCAGCTAGCAGCCAGGGAACAATGAAGAGCAATGGAGAATTACCAGGAGCCAATAGAACCAGCTGTTGGGAAAATCAGAGGGCTACCAGTAGCTGCTGGTCCAAGCTGTCAGAAGAGCAGAGAGAAGGGCCACTAATACTTCAAGCTTAGAGCTTTGGCATTCATACTCAGAGCGATTAACATAAATGGACTACACTTTACCTAATTGTGCTTTCTATCCATATTGAACAAATGAACCTTTACTGATTGGTTACAAATAGGTGGCCCCTATTCTAATATGACTGTGACCTTATAAAGAAGGGAAATGCAGACACAAAGAGAGAAATACACAGAGGGAGGATGATGTGAAGGACAGGGAGAAAGTGGCCATTTACAACCCTGGTCAGGGGCCAGGGATTTAGCTCAGTGGTTCTGCCGCCTGCCTTGCAAGTACAAGATCCCGAGTTCGATCCCCAGTACTCCCCCCTCAAAAAAATACAACCCTGGTCAGGATGGTTATCACTGAGAATATAAAAAGCAACAAATGCTAGTGGGGATAATGAAACTGGGCAAAAAGAACCTTCCTACATTGGTGGTGGGAATGTAAGCTACTATGGAAATCAATAAAAGATTCCTCAAAAAACAGTTAAACAGGGCCGGGGATTTAGCTCAGTGGTTCCGCCGCCTGCCTCGAAAGCACAAGGTCCTGAGCTTGATCCTCAGTACCAAAAAAAAAAAAAAAAAAGTTAAATATAGAAATACCATTTGATCCAGCTATACCATTCCTGGGCATAGTCCCAAAACAAGCAAAGTCAGCATAGCATAATAATATATTCATACCCATGTTTATAGTAGTGCAATTCACAATAGCTAAGGTGTGGAAATAGCCTAGGTGCCCATCAATAGATGAATGGATAGAGAAAATGTCATGTATATATACATCATGGAATATTATTTAGCCATAAGTAAGAATGAAAACATGCTATTTGTAAAAGAATGGATGGAACTAGAGACCATCACATTTAGTGAAATCAGCCAGACTCAGAAAAGTACCACATTTTGTCTTATATAAGAAACTGGGGCTGGAGAGTATGACAGGAAACTAGGAGGTAGAATTTTGGAGATGAGGAAAGAGGTTAGAGGAAGGCGGAACAGAGGGAGGGTGAGTAATGGGACAGTAAAACATCAAGATGTGTTAAATGCATGTACCAATTTACCAAAATGAACCTCACCATTCTGTATTACCAACATGCACTAATAAAAAGCAAAGCTTTGAAAAAATAAAAAAGGGATAAAATTTGTCTATGTAATTTGTCTATTTTTATTACTATGTGTTTGCAATACATAATGAATACATTCATCATATGTGTTGGTACAACACATCCTGTATCTTAGTCCTTTTTATTTCAAAGGGGGAAATTTGGACAAACACACACACACACACACACACACACACAGGGACGAGGATAAGAAGGGATGGGGAGAAAACTGCCATCTATAAGCCAAAGAGAGACACCTAGAATAGATTTTCCCTCACAACCCTCAAAAGGAACCGACTCTGACAACACTTTGACTTTACATTTCTAGACACAAGAACTGTGAGATGACATATATCTGTTACTTACTCCATGTCAGCCTTAACAAACCAACACAAAGGCCAAGAGTCAATTTAAGATGACCTCTTTACACGTCCTGGAAGACAGATATGGAGCAGGGATTTAAAGAAGCAAGGCAAGTGCCAGTCACAGAGATAGGAAAGAATGAGGGAAGACAGCAGAGCCTGGAGCTCAAAGTAGGTGCCTGGGAAGTGCGGCACACTGTTCATGCTCTCCTGTTCTCACTAATCCAGGGTCCTACACTGGCAATTGTGACTGATCTCCCGGGCCCTGCCCATCCCTGAAGTTACAGAGTGAACTCCGGGAGAACCACCTGCTGATAAAGTGGGCACATTCAGATCAGGGGAAATAAATGCCAGAAGCCTGAGGCCTGAAAAGAAAAGAGAATGCTCAGACTCCTGGGTCCTACAGAAGAGGACTATGTCTTGATATCTGTATTAACGGTCCTGAACTTTTAACCATTTGAAAAGTTTTAAAACATTGTTACATAAAATTAAGTTTTTACCAATACCATTCTTACTGTAGCATCTTCTCTATTAAAAATAAATGTGTATTTTCCCCTTCACTCCCAGAGTCAGTATCAGCTCTAAAGGAATTCAAAGGAATCCTTTCACCCTGACATATTTGGTTGCTGCAAATTGAGGGAGGTGTAATTTGGACTCCTGGGTCCAGGTGGATTCCTAGGTCTGAGGGAGGAAAGGATGGGGCCAAGGACCCAGGTTTCTAAGCCATGACAAAGCCGGGGAGGCCAGACACCAGAGGTCCAACATTTGAGGTGAATTTCTCACTGCCTTTTCTATAATTTGCTCCTGGGAGCAAGTTCAAAATCACAGAGCACACTAAACGCAGCCTGCCCTATCAGTCAGCTACTTGTTAAGAAGCACAAATCAAGACGAAATTGCCAGAGCTTTCAGAATGTACCAGGCAAACAGGGATGAGACTAATCCATGGCTACATCATCTTAACAGACCTCTTCTTCTAAAGCCTGAATGCACAGCCCCTCACTGCACTGCTGGGACAAGACTAGAATTGGCCACAACACTTTTGTGAGGTACTCCCTCCTTCCTGGCCCCTGAAGACCCCAACGAACTTTTCCCCATAGTCCCAGGACCTAAAGATACCTGAAGTTTAATTACTTCCCATCCGCTCAATAATCATATACTATTGTTAGTGTACTGAATCTTAGGACACAAAAAAATACACAATACTTAGGACTCCAATATAATGTAATTGCAAAGCTTTTGTCCTAATTATTCTTAGGTTTTAGAAACATTTCTAGAGGCCCTTAAAGGGCATAATATTCTTCCTGAAGTAAGGTAGCTAAGTCACTATCTCTTAATAGTTTTAACCAGCCCTATACTATTTATAACCATTGGAAGTTCTAAACATGTTTCTACATAAAAATTAAGAGCTCTGTCAACCCTTTTCTTAGAGTGACATTTTCTCTATTAAAACTAAATATTAAGGCCAGGGATTTAGCTCAGTGGTGCTGCCGCCTACCTTGAAAGCACAAGGTCCTGAGTTCGATTCCAGGTACCAAAAAAGCCCCCAAAAAACTAAATATTAATTTTTACTAAAACCCACAGGAGAGTACCAATTATTAAAGCACACAAAGTGGATCCTTTACACAAAGAGAGCTCGCAAACATAAGAAGTACAATTTTCATCTGTGCACAACAAATCTGTGTCTTGTTCATGATACCGATAGAGATAAGCAGATTAAATATGATGGCAACTGTGCTATCAATTGATTACTACTCGTGCATACAATTTAGGGTCGCCCAAAGTGCCACTTATGAGGGCACTCATCTCTCCCTGGGGACCATGGGGGTAGCGGGTGCGATGATGCAACCAGACCGTGAAGGCTGGGCTGAGCAGCCACCGCTGCACATGAAGACTGAGGAGGACGAGTACTCTCCTAGGTGGACAAGGGGTCCCACCCACAAGAGAACCAGGAACATGAGCGTGGCGACCCAGGAACATGTGAGGCCATACAGGTAACCCACTGGCTCAGCGAGTAAGGACCAAAGGGCTAACCTCCTAATGTGTACAAATACGAGAAGCCAGGGTACCTCCAAGACAGGTCGCCAGGTCACTTGGAGATGGCCTTCGGCAACAAAGACTAGCAAGCCTCCTCTCCTGCTATCTTTCCTGCATTCGCATTATGCACATGCGCACCTTTCGCACATGGAGGCCATCCGCACATGCGTACTTTCTGACTCAGCTAGGATTGGCTTCTCAGTAGCCAATGAGGTGCAGGTTCTCCAGGCTCATCCAATGAGACCACCCACTAATTTAACACCAGCCAATGGAACCTCGAGTGTTCGGTCGGCTGATTTTGGCCCCGCCTTCAGTGCCTCTGGAAGGCTTGAGAGAGCCAGGAAGGCCAGGAACTGTTAGAACTCATCTTTGGCGTCGTGAGGTTCTGGTGAGGTCCTATGGCACCCAGGAAGAATTTTGCTGCCAGAAGAAAAAAAATGGAAGAAAGGGACCCTATTTTATAGATAGGAGGAAAGAGAAGGCCAGGGATTAGAGTCGCGGATGAGGGAAGAGGGGCTGGGAACAGACTGCCGCACCAGAGGAAAGGGTAGGGGACAGGAGCGCTTGGTAATGAGAGAGGAGCACTGTGGCCTGGGCCATTGGGCCTGAGCCAGGAGGGCTGGGGCCTGGACCCTGTTCAGGGAGGAGGACTGGAGCCTGGCTCTGTAGGTCCAAGGGAGGAGGATGGGGCCGAACTTCTGGGTCTGAGGGAGGCAATCGAGGACCTAGACCCCTGGATCTTGTGCAGTAGTGAACAAGGCCCTGGAAGGTAGAGGTCCCAGGGCCTGGACTCCTTTGTCTGAAGGAAGAGGGACCGGGCTTATACCCTGGGTGTTGTGGGATTAGGGACCACAGCCTGGACTCCTGGGTCAATGTGGAATATTTAGGGGCCTGAAAGCCTGGGTCAGTGGAAGGACAGGCTGAGGCCTGGATCCCTGCGTCTGAGGGAGGAAGGGCTTGAGCCTGGGCTCCTGTGTCCTGAAGGGTTTTAACCCCTGGGTTTGAGGGAAGAGGAATGGGAACCTGGATCCCCAGGCCTGGGCTCTTGTGTCTGAGGGTAGATCATTGCCAATCTGGACCTTGCTTTTAGAGACAGTGGGCTGGGGCCCAGGTTTTCAGGTTTGAGGAAGAATGCCTTGATCCAGAATCTTGTGCCCTGAGGGAAAAAGGCAGCTGGAACCAAACTCCTACATTTCTAGGTAGGATAGGTCTGAGCTGTTAGTAATCAAGGTTCTAATATAGCTAGGGACTAGATAGAGACTAAAATACTGAGTCCTTTAGAGAATACTGGTTTTAGCTTAGACTCTTGAGTCCTGGGAAATAGGGTCTTTGGACCCAGATCCTTGCATCCAAAGGTTAAAGTGTACGTGTTGCTGAATTTATCAGTCTTAGTAAACAAGTGGCTGAGTCTGAGAATTACCACCATGGAAACTAAGTGCTGATAATTTTTTTTTTTCCGGTACCAGGGGTCAAACTCAGGACCTTTTGCTTTTGAGGCAGGCACAGCGCCCCTGAGCTAAATCCCTAGCCCACTGATAAATTTATTAATTTGCCCAAACCTCCCCAGTTAGTTAGGGATAGACTTCAGAAGTCACAGTCTTATCATAAATCTACCCCAAAGTCAGTCAGTACTTGCTAAAAACCTAGATTTAATCACTATCTCGTTCATAAATTGCATTTTTAATTTCAAACCATAGATTCTAATCAGCCTTTTCCATCCTCTCCAAGAGAAGTCATGGGGATTTTCCAGGATCTGCTGTTTCTCTTCCTTCTAGGATCCTCTTCCTTGACCAGTACATATGTGGGATATGGGGGAAGAACAGCTGGGTCAAAGAAGATGGATTTGGGGTTTAAAAAAAAAAAGAAAAGAATAACTTTGGCCCCAGAGAAAGGCGAGTGCTCATCTTTATCTGCTTTTCTTCTCAGGGGCACAGCATTTGCATTGTCACAGGGGTGTCTTCATGACTATAGAAAAGGACCCAAGGAGTACATTAACTGGACTACAGAAAAAGTTGAGACTTGTGACAAAAAGTCACTTTGCCAGGAAACTATGATAATGATTACAGCAGGTAAAATGAGAATTGGGCAGTGGGATGGGAGAGAGGGTGATTATAACCATATCACTGCTGTTTCCCCTTCCCTGGACCAAACATGAGACTCACTGACCACTTTTCTTCCCTGCAGGAGACCAGACTGCCGTTTTGGCCTCGAAGGGCTGCATCTCTGCAGGGGTAGAATCTATGACATTTGTCCAGCACTCTCCACCCCCTGGCGTGGTGGCAGTCTCCTACAGTAACTACTGTGAGGATTCCCTTTGCAACAACAGAGGGAGCGTATCTTCATTTTGGAGACAAGAAGAGACCTCAGGTATGCAGGGAAAAGAGAAATAGGTGCTAAGAGAGACTCCATGAACAACTGAAGAGACTATTTCTTTCCTGTTTGTGTTATTTGGCTTAGGCCCCAATTGGCCAGACACAAAAGGGTCTCCCAGTTCAGTTGTCGTTTTCACAAGTGCTACCTTTGATTCAGAGGAAAGGGGCATCAGTGAAGGCTGGAGTGTAACCTGGGTATGTGTTTATTAAGCAGTAAGATATCTGTGTAGGTTTCTGAGTGGGATAGTGGAATTATTAGTCTAGTCCAGCAGTTATTGATTGGTTCCTTATTACAGTGTGACAATAGCCCAGTTCCCTGATTTGCCTCAAGCCCTGTAATACTCTGTTCCTGCCCATCTTTGCAACTTCATTTCCCTCTCTTATATCTCATTTATTGTATCCTAGCTGGGGCTAATATAGTGGTACGTCAGTTCACGAATTTAATTCTTTCCACAATTCTGATCACAAACTGAATTGGATGAGAAGCCAATCAAATTCAATAGTTAGATTCAATGTTGACCTTATGGGGAAATCTGATTCCCCATAATGATTCCCCAATGATGGCCATTGAAAAACCAAAACAATACAGTTCAGCCTTACCTGTGCCTACTAGCTGAATATCAACCTGCACCTTCTTACAATTCTTTAGATCCATCAAACTGGCTCACATCTCCTGGCCTTTGCCCTTGCTGCTGCTTTTGCTATCCCCACTCTAACCTCATTTTCATATAGCCAGCCTCTGTTCATTCTCCCTCTCAAGTCAGGTTTCACCTCTTTGAAAATACCAAATTAATTTAGGTAGTTAGATATTCTTCCATTCCTTTGCCGCTATACCTTGAACATACTTGTAGAGAATGATACTAGAACTGTGTCCTTTAGAGTTTGGAAGTCGTGTAGATGAGATTCTGACACACAAACATCAGCTGGAGAGGAATGAGGAGACTATAGTAACGGATGTAGAGTGTTATCAGCAGAAAAGATTGGGGGAAGAAAAGGCAACAAGGAGAGACTTCTTCACAACAAACCATGTCCTTAACTATCTGTTTCCCTTCCAGCTCCCATTGTGCCAACCCTCCACTGCCCAACATGTGTGGCTCTGGAAACCTGTTTCAGTGCTCCTTCTCTGCCATGCCCCAGTGGTACAACTCGATGCTATCAAGGAAATCTTAACGTCTCTGGAGGTAAACTAAAATGAACGTATGATGGATTCAGAAAACCAGACATCTAAATAGACCCCTAGAAGTTCTGGCACTTGGGATTCCAAGGATGAGGGGGGACTGGATTTCCCTTATTTCCTAACATATCTGTCTCCCCATCCTTCTTTATTTCATAGGAGGCATCAACTCATCCCTGGAGGTGAAAGGCTGTGCAGCCACAGCTGGTTGCAGGCTGATGGCCAGGATCCTAAAAGTAGGACCCATATTGATAAGGGAAGTGTGTCCACAGCAGCTTTATCTTCAAGCCCGCCAGGCTGCAAGTGGGGCCACTTGGTTTCCCATTTTAGATTGGAAGTTAGAGCTGTGGTTGTCTTTGCTACTGCCATAATTTTTTCTATTTTCCTAAGAAGATGCTTCTGCTCCTGGGTCCCAAGACTCCTTTTTTGACTGGGAGCCTTCTGGCTGCTGGTAACCAACAAGTTGAAAAGAATATGAAATTTAAAGGTGAACAGAAAGAGCTGTCATGGATATAGTTGCCATGTCTAATAAAGTGTAAGATTTGTGTATGTTTCAAGACTAGAAGTGGAATTGTAGTGCTGAAAGTCCTTAAAATGTGCCTTCTCCAACCCATGCATTTTCCAGGCAGGGAATCTGAGACCTGGAAAATTCTGGTGAGCTTCTCATACTTACAGAGCTATGGCTAGAGCCAAGACATGAACTCAGATGTTTTGACCTAATGTCCAATTTTTCTTTCATTCTAATCTGCTAACTCCTTTTGCTTGCTAGAGAAGGGACTAACAGTAGCCTCCTTCAGAGCACTCCCAGCCCAGTTGGTTTTTTTTTTTTTTTTTTTTTTGGTATTGGGGATCAAACTCAGGATGTTGCATTTACAAGGCAGGCACGGGCCATTGCACTAAATCCCAGCCATTCTCAGCCCAATTTTAAGGCTAAAGTCATCTGTTTCATGCTTCTACTATTTCACCAGGAGGTATGACAGAATGAGAAAAAGCAGACTCTGAATTCTCCAATTATAATGGGCCCATCTTCCCATGTCCTGTCTGAGGCGGGCACCTGCTCAGCATCATTCCCTCCTTTCTTGATAGCTTACTTAATGATCCTTTTGTGGACAAAGGAAAATTGGGAGGGAACTAGGACTTGATAGGGTGTGATGAATGGTGTCCTGGAATTATTAGGAAGATCTTTTGGGAAAAATCTCATTTTATTTACTTATTACTCAAGGATACATAAGATCTGATTGTTAAAGCCTCAAGTAATACATGAGTTGTGTAGAGCTAAGATAAAAGGAGAGAAAGTTGGAAGGCAGTAGATCCTTTTCAGTCTTTTTTAGAAACAGTTCATCAATAAGTAACTGACAGTAAACTTCACTGCAGTGGGGAAACTTACACAGACTCTTGCTTTCCTTCCACAAGATTGAAGTCTATTCCAACAGTTCATTCTAGAAAGTTCTCTGGCTCTACCCCCTCTCTTTCAGTTAATGCCCCACTGCGCTAATTACTTATCTTTGTCATTAGGCATCCAGCTCCCCATTGTGTTGGCTAGCTGAATCTTCCCAAAGAGGGAGAGGAACCACAAGGAAATCAGATTTTAACTTAGGGGACATATAAATTTTGGAAATAATGGTTCAGAGGTTTTGCTGATAAATGCTACTTGGGGTTAAAAATTTACATGATTAGTGTTTCCCATAGGTCACTGGCTTTCTAATAGTACTGAAGACAATTGCAAGAGAAATTCCTGAGTGAGTGGAGGAAACATTGTCTTAGTTACTTTTCTCATTGCTGAGACAAAAATACCCTACACCCAAAGTTAGAGGAGGAAAGATTTATTTTGGCTCACAGTTTGTAGAGGGTTCAGTCCATAGTCAACTGGCTCCAAGGCAGGTTGGCGTGGTGGTGGTGGGGCATCACAGAGGAGAAACAGTCTATGGCAAAGCAAGGTAGGCAGAAGGCAGCAAAGCAGTGATGTACCAAGTTGACAGCAGCAGCTTTCTTTCTGTCTCTTATATTCCATCCAGTGCTACCCTAAAGGCAGGTAGCACTCACACCCAGGGTGGGGCACCCTTAATCCTAGCATCACACACCCTAGATCCAGCCACCTCCAAAAACCCCACCTATGACTACATGAGGCTTTGGGGGGACATCTAGATACAAGCCATAACATACATAATTTTTAAAATTTCAGTCTGTCTGTAAATTGTTTTCATATTTTAAGAGCCATGTCCATAATATTCCAAAGATGTTTTTGCAAAATGTACACATTTTCAGGCTACAAACTCCCAGTGAATAAACTTAATATTTTATGTACATACATAATATGAAAATATTTAATGTATTATTTTAAAATTTTATCACAATCCAACATTCTACCAAATGGAAGGTAGTAACTTCACTATTTGAATAAACTAAGTCACTCCAGAGTGCTCTCAGTCATTTCATATTTAAGTTCAGTAAACCCAGGGCTTTCCCTTTCCACTCAAACGAAGAGCTTTTGCTACATTCCTGGTGGGAAGGAAGCTACTGTCTAGGTTAGTCTCATGCCACTCTCACTGCTCATGTGCAAGGTCTTAATGAAGCCTGGGTCTCAGCTTCTATTCATGTTGGCAGCCATGGGGAAAAGTGCACACCCCACAGCACTGAAGAGTATCCTCAGGCCCTCTGAGCTCTGCCCTCCCTCTCAGGCGCTCCTGAAAGACAGCCTCTCCTAACTTCTCTTGAGTAGTCCGGGGCGGGGGTGGGGATGGGGGTGGGAGTGGTGGGGGGTTAGGAGTCTGAAGCTGCTGAGGATTCCCGTACAGCTGAGGAAATTCCCTCAAAATCTGGAGAAAAAAACTTCATAGGAATTTGCTTCCTCCTAACACATCAGGCAGGAGATGGGACGTAGATCCTAGCATTTATTATCCTCTGCACACACCACTGTCACACATCCTTCTTAAATCTGTTGGTTGCTGCAGTGGTCACCCCATAAGCCCTTCATCCGTAGTCTGAAACTTGAGAAAATTGCATGTTTTGTGAATCAAAAATTAGACCTTTATAACTATTATCCCTGCCTCAGTTTACAGTGCCTACTTTGAATGTCAAGGCTGCATAATAAAATACTTCTCTCTCTTCAAATTTCTCTGGTAATAGCCCTGCTGCTGGAAGTGGGAGAAAGGCACTAAGTTCCAGTGCTCTCCCTCAGTCATTCACACGTGGAAATTATGCCTTTGTCCTTTTGGTTCTTTGTGGAGAAGATGAGCATTGAGTACTTCTGCCCAGCCCTTGGGGATCCCCCTGATTATCAGCCTCAGTGGCTCTTTTGAGGTGCTCCTAGCCAATCCATTTCTCCTCTCTCCTTTCTCTAAGGGCCTGGATCAGGAAGGGCAAATGGATAAGCCATATACTGGCTGGCTCATAGATATCTACTGCAATAACATCACAGAGTCAGCCAAACTGACCAAATTCCATAGATTCATGAACTCCTTTGGTTTGGTTTGGTTTGGTTTGGTTTTTGAGTAAGAGTCTCATTATGTAACCCAGGCTGGCCTTGAACTTGCAATCCTTCTGCCTCACCCTCCCGTGTGTTGGGATTATAGGCGTGCACTACTACATCTGGGTTTCATGAACTCCTTCAAACAGTATCTCTGGGCCTGGCTCCTACCCTACATCAGTACTATCCCAGTGAAAGCTGTGCTGCCAGGTACCCAGGCTTCTGAGCCTCCCCTCTCCCTTCCTCTCTTTCCCTCCACATGAAGAGGGACCCATGTTCTTGTCCTTCCTTTTATTCTTCATCTCCTTCCCTCAGTTCCGATTAGCTGGTGCCTGCCTCCTGGACCAGAGAGCATTTCTAAGACTATTTTAACTTAATGAAAATGAAAATACAAAATATGAGATGTGATATGCTGCTGGGGCAGAACCCCAGCAAATGTAAGATAACTCAACAACTATTAACAAAGCAGCAATTACCTCAGTTTCCACATGTCAAAAATAGAAAAAGGAGAAGAAAACCCAAGTAAGCTGAATAAATGAAAAATGTATAATCCCTTGGGCCAAATAAGAAATCACAAGGAGAAGATAGTATTTTCCAAAAATGGTACTGAGGGGCCAGGGATTTAGCTCAGTGGCACTGTGCCTGCCTCAAAAGCACAAGGTCCTGAATTCAATCCCTGGTACCAAAAAAAAAAAGGAAAAAATGTTACTGAGATAGGGTAAGACCCCTGTCTCACACTATATTCAAAAATTAACTCAAAATGGGTCATAGAAGTAAAACATAAGGCTAAAATTATTTACCTTTTAGAAGAAAAGGGTCTGGGGGATGTAGCCTTCCACATGTTCCTCACTAACATTCCCTCAAGACCGAAGCATTCTAGGGTTATCAGAGATAATGCAAGTGAAGTTAAACAATGAAAGATACTTGGTTTGTGTCTTCACCTGGATACATCCTAGTGATGAACTTAACTAAACCATGCCTCCATACCTTCCCCTGAAGATAACCTGAGTCTTCTAACTAAACAAACTGACCAGCATGGCTGAAAAACCAGAAGGCTAACATAGTCTACCAGCAGCTTGACTTGTGCAGATAAATAAAGAGTTTTGCTTTTGAAATATCCACTGTCCCAAAGGCGGATACCACTGAGGTGGAAATAACTTACAGCATAAAGAATACTGAACTTAAACAACATAACCTATGGGATTGACTACCTGGAGAAGAAAAAAACCCATAAGGATCCTCATCCCACGTGATTTGGTGTGGGTTTTAGGTTCTCTGTATACATTAGCTGCTACAGAAAAATTAAAACAAAAGATTTACTTCATAACTTCCTTAGTTTATTTCTTTTTTAGGGTAGGAAAATTTTATTGAGAGAAAGATAGCTTCTGTCTAAGAGAGAAGGACTGGAAAGTGGGTTGCCTGCCCACCTTCCTTCTCAAAGGTGTTTTATGGGACAAAGCCATGAAATGAGGCAGGTTCGGGATGGGACAAAACTTTAGTCAACTAGTAAGATTACAAGTACAGTCACTTAAGTAATATTTATCCAATGAGAAGTCACAAGGTGGACATGAGGTGGGACAAAATTATGATCAACCAATAGTATTATGACAAGTACTGTGGCTTAGGTATTATTGATTAAATAAGGATCCAATGGAGAAGCAAGTCACGTGCAAGTGTACAAGAAACAAACAAGGATTTTCAGATTTTCAATGAGGGTTGGGTCACGGACCTTTCCTGGAATGGTCTTGGTTCCCTACCCAGGTGATTGATACCTATTTAGAATATCAATCACTGCTATTCATCCCTAGGGGAAGTACATGAGTGTAGTAGTTGCTCTCTTTTTATAATGCTGGCCTTCAGTGAATGTGTCTCCGTTGTCCTCCATGTTGGCTCCTTTGAGGGTTGTCTCTGTCTAACTGCCAACAAGATATCTAATTAACTTACCTAACTACAATATTTCCGCCTCTGAAGAAGTACCCCTAGCTCCTGTGAGGGGAAAGGGGTGAAGATTGTTCTTGTTACTTCCAGCTGAAGAGGGTCATAGCTGTGATCATCAGTCAGAGTTACTCTACAGAGGGTCTATCTAAAGGCCATCAATGGGCACCAGACATTGTTGTCTTGGGTAAGCATATAGCTTTGAGTCTGGAGGAGATAAAGCCAAAGAAACAGTTGAGAATACATGAGCCAAATAATAAGGTCAGCAGGATTGTTACGAATATAGCCAACAAGCATTTCCACCAGGAGGAACTAGTAGTAGCCTCCCACAAAGAGGATTAGGAGAAGGTCAGGGGACTTCAGAATCCGACATACCATTAACCTGTCTTCTAATATCTTGAACAGCTATTAAGATATTAGTAGATGAATCAGAAATGTACACAAAACATTCAGCTTTTATAATTGTGTGAGTACTTTCTTGTGCTACAGTTAAAATGTCTAATGCCATCTGATTTTAGAGGACAGCTTGCCTCGTTAATTTTCATTAAGGGTATAGTTTTTAAAATCATCTAATTCCTTCAAGCTGAGAAGGATCAACATAGGGACAGTTAGAGGATCTCTCCAGGAAGCTAACTTAACGGCCCTAGGTAGAAGTCATACTGTAGTTTAGCAGTTATAAACTTTTTGTAAGGTCGATCTAGTGGATCCCAGTAAAAGGAGTCTGGCATATTTGTCATTGGTTCCATTTGTATGACTGCTTGGAGTTTGGTACCCTCTAGGCTAGAGAATAAACAAAATTTTTAGAAATCAGAGCATGTATAATCTAAACATGAGCACTAGAATGGAAGGGCAGGTTGAGGAGAGAATCACACTTAGAAACTGAAATACTGATTGTAACCTGGTGGCTTTTCGATTCTCTTATTGATGGAGGTTATTCCTTACTTTCAATTAAAAGCTCACACACTCACAAAATATATAGTTATGAATATGAGTGGCTCTTTTCTTAAATTTTTTAAAATAAAGAAGCACCAATACTTGTTTATTTTTGTATTATAAGTCTCATAATTGTCAATAAAACAAAAATGGCAATGATCACACAAATGAGAAGAAAAAGATCATCTTGGCCACTGTGAAGAGTGTACTTGAAAATACAGATGCTCTGGCTAAGTCAGAATCTAAAGGTTTGCTAGTAAGGTTTTAAGGACTGAGTACAGTTCCATAGTCTTTGTCCACAACTGGTGAAATGAAATTATTTGTCTAACTTTACACCAACACCACACTATGGTGATTACTGTGGCTTCATGATAAGCTTTAAAAATCAGTTACTAATTAGTGTTCCAACTTTGTTTCTGTTTTTCCAAAGTTGTTTTTGCTATTCTAGGTCCTTTGTATTTCAAATCAGTTTTAGGATCTTCTTGTCCACTACTACAAAATTCTGCTGGGATTTTGATCGGGATCCTGTTGAATCTGTAGGCAATTTGAGGAGAACTGACATCTTAACAACACTGTGTTTTCCTATCCCTTATCACACTATATCCCTCTATTTATTTACACGTTCTTCAATTTGTTTCAGCACTGGCCTGTAGTTTTCTGTACACAGGTATTGGCAGGGACACAAAAAAACTGGAAAAAAACACGACGACAACAACAACATGCATTTACCATATTGT